ATCTGTGTTGGAGAAGCTAAAATAATGTCTTTACTGGAATACATGAATAAATGTTCATGAGAAAATATAGAAAAAATGTACAAAATATTCAAATAAATAAATATATAATATATATATTTTCTTTCTTTCTTTTTCTTTTTCTTTTTTTTTTATTTTGAAACTTATAATTCAGTATTAACAAAAAGAAAATAGGAAAGATATATAGGGAGTATTTTTTTTAATTTTCCATTCTTACAAGGGTCAAGGTAACGCGAATAATTCATGATGAATAAAAAGACGATGAATATGAGTAAATGAGTCATTAGTAAGGAACAAGAGAGATAATAGAAATGGAGAATAAAATGCCTCGAAAAACAGACTACGAGAAACAGAGAAAACGTTACCGAAGAGGAATGAAGGAGGAACGGCAATGCACTCGAGGAAATTAAGAGGAAGAAGAAGAAGAAGAGGAAGAAGAAATAGAAGAAGAAAAGAAGAAGAAGATAAAAAAGAAGAAGAAGAAGAAGAAGAAAAGAAGAAGAAGAAAATAAAGAAGAAGAAAAAGAAGAAGAAGAAAAAGAAGAAGAAAAAAAAAGAAGAAGAAAAAAGGAGAAGAGGAAAGATGGAATGAAGGAGGGATGGCAGTACACTCGAAGAAACTAATAATAATAATAATAATAAGATGAAGAAAAAGAAGAAGATAAAAGATAGCATGAAGGAGGAATGGCAATACATTTGAAGAAATTGAGAAGAAAAGAAAAGAAAAGAAAAAATAAAGAAGATAAAGAATAAAAGGACGTAACATACACACATATTTAATCCAAGGAAGAAAGACTCGCCTTAAAGAAAAAAGAAATAATAACAAAAACACCTGAACCTGAACTGATCCCAAAATGAAAAATAAATAATTAATTAAATAAATAAAAAACTCACTTGAACTTGAGAGCGAAGAGAGAGAGAGAGAGAGAGAGAGAGAGAGAGAGAGAGAGAGAGAGAGAGAGAGAGAGAGAGAGAGAGAGAGAGAGAGAGAAAGTGATCGAAAAGAGAAAGAGAGAGAGAGAAAGTGATCGAAGAGAGGGAGAGAGAGAGTGATCGAAGAGAGAGAGAGAAAGAAAGTGTTCGAAGACAGAGAGAGAGAGAAAAATAGAGACAGAAAGAGAGAGGGAAAGTGATCGAAGAGAGAGAGAGAGAGAGAGAGAGAGAGAGAGAGAGAGAGAGAGAGAAAGTGATCGAAGAGAGAGAGAGAGAGAGAAAAGGTGATCGAAGAGAGAAAGAGAGAGAGACAGACAGAGAGACAGACAGAGAGAGTGATCAAAGTGATCGAAGAGAGAACGAGCGAGAGAAAGTGATCAAAGAGAGAGAGAAAGAGAGAAAGTGATCGAAGAGAGAGAGAGAGAGAGACAGAGAAAGAACTCACCTGAAGTCATCCTGCAGGCTCGGGTGAGACCAAGCATCCTCAACCTCCGGATAGGACGGGAGGTCAGTGCCATACCTGGTCTCCGTCGGAAAGTACATTCCCTGCAATGCAACGGAGACGTCAGGCACTTCTACGTTGCTTTGGTACTGATAATGATGATAACAGTAATAGTAATAATGATGACAATGGTAAAAGTGATAATGATGATAATGGTAATAGTGATAATGATGATAATGGTAATGATTATACTGAGGATAATGATGATAACAGTAATAGTAATAAAGATGATAATGATGATAACAGTGATAGTAATAATGATGATGGTGATAATGATAATGATGTTAATGTCTATATAATAATGATAATAATAAGAGTAATATTAGTAGTAATATTGCTAATGGGAATGATAATAACAAGTATTATTATTATAACAATGACAGTAATAATGATATAATAATGATGGTAATGATGATGATGATAATGATAATAATAACATTAATAATAATGACAACGATGATAATAATAATATTAATAAAAGATATGATGATATTACTACTACTACTACTAATAATAATAATAATAATGATAATAATAACAATAATAATAATAATAATAATGATAATGATAATGATAATGATAATAATGATTATAACAATGATGAAGGCTTATATGTTCGCGTATGCACTCACAGGTATGTATATATTTTTTATTTTATTGTTATTGTTATTATTATTATTATCATTATTGCCGTTGTTACAATTGTTGTTGTTGTTATAATTATTGTTATTGTAATTGTTATTAATCTTATTATTGTTATTATTATTGTTGTTATTATTATCATTATTATCATTATTATTATTATCATTATTATTATTATTATCATTATTATTATTATCATTATTATTATCATTATTATTATTATCATTATTATTATTAATATTACTATCATCATTTTTTTCCTTATATTTTCTTTATTTCAACAACGAGCTAGATTCCTACAAGCAGCCTACAGTACTAATTCGATTTAACACTATTTACTTTATCTATTATCAACACTATTTGTTATTAACACTATTTACTTTATTTATTATTAACACTATTTAC